CAATTTTATATCTTCTTATGTACACGGTAGAAATTATTTTTATCTGCACCAAAAAAAAAAAAAAGAAAGAAGATTGGTTCTCAGGCCCCGCCGCATACAAGTTAAACCCACCGCATATAAATTTTTTTGGTAAAATTTATCAGAGTATTTCGGAAATCGTTACTTTGTCATGACAGGTTTTAAATTTAGAACGTCTAGATCTCTATCATTATAGTGTTTTGAAATAAAAACCGTTAACTTATTATAGGACACCACTCAAAAATAGACTTAGATTTAATAAACATGCTTTGGTGCAGTGTTGGAGAGTCATGGCACTGTTATCGTGTCAGATTACTTGTGCAGTCAATATTCTAATGCCTTGGAGTATAATTGGAAATTACAGCGCTGATTTATATCTGTTGGAAATTTATTTAATGCTATTCGAAACGGTCACATTGGACAAGGATGGTGGACTTTTCCATTAAAGTACACAAGTTATGCAGTCAAAGCATCGATTGGAAAATCAAATCTTCTTGATTCTTTTGACAGAGTGATATTGTCGGTTGGCATCAACAAAACTGTTAATTTGTTTGGAAGATATGTCAGATTTAATCTTGTGGAAAATTCAGATGGAGTTAAGAGTGATGATAGACAAAATTCAGAATCAAGTCAAGGTAAGGCACAAAGTGCTTTTGATGATCTCATGATGGCACACAGGAAAATGATCTTACCTGAACCATACTCAGAAGATACGAAGATCTCAAACAATAAGAGTGCTGTTCAATAAGATTCTGTGAATGATTCAGAAAGCAGGGTCCGCCATCATAAAACTTTGAGAATTCTCAAAAAAATTCTCAACTCAAGTTTTGATAATTACTCATCTGAGAATTTAAGAATAAAACAGAGTTTAAGGAATTTTTATTTTTCTCAACTTTATTATGAGTCTGAAAATTTTGGATCTGAGAAAATTCTCAGACTTGAAAGCATTCACAGACTTCAGTATGTTTTATAACGACGGACCCTACAGGATCATGGCAACCCAACCCAAAAGGAGGAGACATGCAAAATCCTCAATAGTGGGACCATCCCCAACTACAGCACCCTCTTTGCATGCGACACCACCACCAGTACCTCTGGACGTGACACCACAAATAACCGCCAATTCCACAAATGGAAAACATGATTAAGGAATATATGCAATGGATGCTCCCAATGATAGAGGCCACCTTTAAGCAATATATGAAAGACTACCATGAGGGATCACAACAAAGTACTGTAAGAAAGACACTGTAATCTCCCTCTCATATTTGAACATCTCACAGGTTTTAAGAATCCAGATAGACACAAGGACTAGAAAGAAGATATCAGATATCCTGTCTTGCAGTCTCATGTAGCCAAATTAGAGTTAGCTTTAGAGAATACATTTCTTAATGGACCTCTGTGGTATTCCATCAAGAAAGCTTGGTGTGCATTGTCAGAAATGTGTAACAAATACTGTATCTATTTGAAAGATGATGCTAAAAGATCCAGTGAAAATACAGAACAGATGTTTCCTGTAAGAAATCCAGAACACACAGTCTTTAAAAATCTTGTATCCAAAGTATATTTTCTGCCCAACTGTGATGTCACGATACAGATCATTGACAGATCATTTATTAACTGCTGATTTCTATGTCCCACTATGCACTGATGAATACACTCCTGTGGATACATGCAAGCACAGGTATTATTTGGAAAATATTTATCATTTTTGGAATGGACACTACAGATGAGCATAGAGCTTCTCAGACGTGCCAAGTGACCTGCATTCGGTGAGTCACACCCGCAAAACTGACCTATCACCCACTACTCATGTTGACCCGTGGCGGGTCATCATTTTCACCAGCAAAACCGATCATCCCCATTTTTTAACCCAATTTCCGGTAAATAATCCGAAGAGATATTACTCTAATTTATTCTCAATTTTCGACACCAGACGGCACCTTTAATCAAAAGCCTGAAAGGCTTCAATGGCGTCGAACAAGAAAAACAATTTCAAAAGATCTGCAAATAGGTCAAGTGAGTGACTCCGGTAACATAATAATAAAATTAAAAAAAATAGTCTTAACACAAATACAGTATAGGGCCTGATAGCCTTGTGTCCTGGTCTGAATGAGTCAGGGTTCGAATTGACCTGACATCGTCAGAAATGTCCATCCTCTATCATGTCTATATCAATCTAATTTCTTTTCAGTCAATCGAAGACATATGAAGGGTTTCGTAAATTATTTTAATTAATTGCCATTGTCAGAGTGTTGTTCTGTTGTTTAGTGATTGCATCTTAACTACAACCATGACTCTAATGTTACAAGTACGATCGACTTACGATATGGGCGCAGTAAACAAATGGAGGAAATGGATAAATACAGTAATACTGGCATTACTGGTCAATATCATAGGTTGTTCGGCTAAAATTGGATTGAAGATCGTAAAAGTAAAGCTAAGATTAAGAAATTCAATCTTTATAGTCTTGTTGTATTCGTGTTTATTTTGTAATTATTTTACCGTATTTAAGATTGTTTGTATTACAGTAATCGGTCCCAAAATGTGATTCATGTAATTCAACGCACCCTCTCAGTAGAAATTCATCCGCAACAACCATAACGTTTTTCTTGCTTAAAAATTAAACATAATATCATTGTTTTGAAGTAGTATTAATTGAAGATACAATTGATTTAATTTTATATTCAAGCTATTATTCATTGTGAACGTTTTAAAAGAAATTGGTTTACAGCTCTTGATATTTTCTATTGCGGATGCATCCACTGACACGTGCGGTGGCGTAAACCTGACTGATCGCTAGATGATGATCGGGCAAGCCCGACGCCATAAAAATGGAACGGTGTGAAAAATGCCATGAATACAGCCAGCGGCTATGTTTTTAAACAATCATTATGATGTATGAGCTGTGATCACCAGAAAACAGGTAATTATTTGTTAGAGAGTTAACAATCAGTTTGAAAATGTCTTAGGTAAGGAAAAGATATGATGAGCTTACAGATTAGCTAGTTCATGGACTACCAACTTATGGCAGATGCTGAACTACCAGACAGAACATGAGTTGAGAGATATTGGGGAGAATTAGCTGAAATGCAGGACACATTCACCAAGAAGAAAAGATTTCCTTGTTTAAGCAAGTTTGTGATGGTGCGTACCCTGTTTGTGATACTCATACAGATAAAGCTTCCTCGAAATGTAATATTTGGAAAGAAAGAAATGCCAAAAAAAACAGAAAGACAAATGACTATTTTTGTGTTTATTGAAATATTTGATGTTATTCGGTATAAATATTATTAATTTCAGTAATAAGTGTGCAGTTTAGCATTAAGTCACAATCTTTTTCAACAGATGCATCCAATGTAAACATTTCACTTGATTGGTCAACTAATTATCATTATTGACACGGAAATAGTCTGTTGCACTAGCAACCAATCAGGGATTAAAAGAAACTTCCAGTTGTAAAGCTTGTAGTTAGAAGGCATGTACTATTTACTTTGAGCACAGCTGTCATCATAGGTTGTATCGTAATGCAAAACTGCACACTTTGACTGAAATTGTTAATATAAAAATAATATTTTGAAAATAATAATAAAAAAAACATGCCTGCCTCATTTGATTTTCTAAAAGATGGTCTGAGAATCATTTTTTTTTTTTTTTTGCTTGGCCTGAATTTTTAAAGTTAGATAAATCTGACATTTTTAAAATATATTTTATGTACATGCATGATTAAATAAATTTTATTCTTAAGGTTTGTTAAAGCTGACATTGTTTTAATATTTGATATAGTTTATAGTGAAGTGGATATCGTTGAGCTGTTTAGATTTCTGTCATTCTAGTTCATTATACAACTTAGCCAAGAATTAACATTCGCATCTACAAGTACCAGTCCCTCGGTCCCCGAGAACAATTACACATTAGATACAGCCTTTGCCCACATTTCAACATCAGCGGCCGCTTCATCAGAACAAATGTCAGAACTGCAGAGAACTAGATACGGGTTTTCGGCTGAGTCCGTTCCTCTGGTGAAGACAATTTTGCCCTAACTTCAGCAGCAAATCAATGCAGGTAAGGACGTCAATTTGACATTACTGCTAGCCTAATCCCTTATTACACACCTTCCTAAGAGAAAGATGAAAATAAGAAGCCAGATAAGACTTTTGCATTCGCTAACTATTAAGAAATTTATTAAGGCTTTCCAGATTTACACAAACAAACACCTCAAGAAGACAAAAACTAAATATGAATGAACAAGATATCATTGATATGGCTACATATTATCCAGGAAAGGAGTTCTCCAAAAACCTTTGTCAACTCAGGCTCACGGCCCACCAAATTTAAGGAATAACTGTCTAATTTTTTTGTTTCATGATGTGATCAATTGAGTGGCTTACATGATAATTTGCATAAACGCCTTCAGCATGTTCTCCAAAAACTTTATAACTTAAAAAAAAGAAAGCAGCTATAACTGTTCAGTCTTTTATGCGTCGCTGTCTAGACCAAAGGAAATAAAGGAAAATGAAGAAGTCAGCTTGCATTAATATTATACAGAGTCGATTTAGAGCATACCATGTCACGAGTCAGACTCAAAAAATTACTTACTCTTAAAGAAGCAGCCAAGACCATACAGGCCAGCTACAAAGGCAGGATAACAGGAGGCTCGTACAAAAGAACCAGAAAGTCTATAGTGCTGCTTCAGGCTGCATCTTAAGGTTTCTTGTCAGAAGCCAGTTAACCCATTTCCTGGTATGACTGTAGTCGTCATGTGCACTATCTTCAGAGTACCACTAAAGTCGTTTTCATACAAGCGTCTTAAAGGCCCTTGAATTACTATGTAAAAGCCCCGTATGAATAAAACATTTGCATGATTTAGACAGTGGAAATTTACCTTGCTTATGCGCATTAAAAATGAAACTAGATACCTCGTTTTGGGGGGAAATTTTGGTTAAAACAAAGGAAATCACTGACGCGATCGTAGTTTCAAAATGGCGGAGAGTGAAGAGGGACTGAGAGAAGGTAGTGATAGTGAAGGAGATTATGACGAACAAAAAGAAAATATTGCAGATATAGAAAGAGAAATCATTCGTGGAGACGTTGATGACTGGATTCTTAACATTTTTCAGGAGGACAGCGATGACGAAGCTAAATTCCTAGGCTTTCAGAGCGAATGGACATTTGAAAATTTCCATCAACGTCTTGGAAATGTATTCAGAAAAATTGGTGGTGCAACAGTTGAGCATCCGGAAGAGGTGTCAGCTGGACAGTACTTTGAATTATTTTGGACTAACAAACTTTTAGACAGGTTAGTCTAAGAAACAAACAATTATGCTCAACAAGAACGAGAGAAAAACCCATCCCCTCTGTTTGCTCCAAAATGGACGCCAGTTGACATGACGGACATTAAGTAAACTTAAAGGGGTTTTTAGCCCTATGTTTTGCTATGGGCATCCTCAGATTACCAGACAAAGGCGACTACTGGATGAAAAACAAATGGATGTTTGTTATAAATTTCAACCGAGTGATGTCCAAAGACAGATTTTTCTTGATCTGGAGATACCTCCATGTGCAGAATAATGAGATTCAGCCAGACACACCCGACAATCTGTGGAAGATCTGTTATCTCTGGGAGTTTCTAAATAAAAAGTTCGGAGAAATGTATGTGCCCTATGGGAACGCGACGGTAGACGAGAGCATGATAAAATTTAGGGGCAGATTCTCGTTTCAGCAATACCTACCCCCAAAGCCAGTCATATGGGGAGTGAAATGAGAATGTTGAGAAAGTGAATTGTGTTCAGGAATGTGTGTTCATATGGATAATTCTGCGGACTTATTGTTTTTTTTCATAAATTTTATGTAAGTATATTGAAGTTTGAACTTTTTAAAATAGATATTTCTTTTTATTCAGTATCTAACAGTATAAACACTTTAAACAACAGGCCTGGGGGCCTTAAAACTTAGATGAGCTCACTTTTGATATCAGTCTCACTTTTTCACTATATATTCCGTTGGTAAAAGTGAGACTGAGATCAAAAGTGAGCTCGTCTAAGTTTTATGGCCACCAGGCAAGATTGTTATAGTTATAATTTGTTGTTAAAATCAGTGATTTCTTGGTTATAGTAAATTTGAAGCAAAGCAAATAAATGATGTTTATATCAAGAAATACTCCATTTCAAGAAACTTTTTTTTCCTTCAAGATATTTTTATTCTGTAAACTGTATTTGAAGAAGCAGAAATAGTTATTTTATGAATTCATGCAAAAAAAAATGTGCTGTTTACATTCACTTTTTTGAGTAAAATGCATGTAAACAAAAATAATTTGAAAAAAAATTTGTGTTTACAAATTTTCTTTTATTCACTCAAAGTATTATTGAGGATAATATTGCTACTGCATTCTGAAAATTATACTGTAAGCTGAAGAATTTTTTACAGCTTTTAGAAAATATATACTTCATTATGTCTGTAGACAGTAGTAATCTAATTATCCAGCAGAATGTAAGCATGGTGCTAATTGACTTAGCATTCTCAGACGTAGTGCTGTTTTCCTGTATTACTTATAAAGCCCACCTGAATTAGCTTCAGAAGGAAATGGGTCAAAGAGCCATTTTGCAATAATAAGTACTCACGAAAAATAAGGAATCTACAGTAGTTCATGTTATTAAGGTCTTCCGTTTCCAACAGAAGACCTTCTACTGATTCTGTTGGTAAAGATTATTATTCTTTTTTTTTTTCTTCTACTTCCTAGACGCCAACTTTGAAGCATCATATCTTACTCATTTCTCAATTGATTTCGCTCAAATTTTCAGAGGTACTAGACGTTACTAAACTCTATCAGAATGCTGTCGAAAATTTCAAAAAGTCACTTCTGGTTTTGAGTTATTTCCCTTTAAACGAAAATTTATAGGCTTTCGTTTCCAGACAAAGGCTCAGAGACGGCTAAAGCTGGAGCAAAAAATTTACTGATTTTGGATAATAGAAGGATTGAAGTTGTGCACATCGGTTTTTGTTTTTCGATTTCTCTATTCAAAATGGCTCTATATAGGGGTCAAAAATTAGAACGCTTAAAAGAGCCAAAAATTACTCATATTTTGCTTTTTATCTTCTAAACTAAAAATGTTTTGATAAAACACATAGAACATAATTTGTGCAGAATTAAAAGATCTTTCCAATGATATCTCAGAAAAAGGGCTGGCCCCTAAAATTAAGGGCCAGGAGGGGCCAAGAGTTTTTCCTTTATATCTCAAAAAGTATTGAGAATTTGTAATACGTCAAAGAAGCAAAGTTGTTCAAAATGTCAAGCTTAATCTATTGAGGTCGTCAAAGTACGCCCGGCGACGTCACTTCCGGCCAAACCGGAAGTAGTCGGAAAACGCATATTTTGCCATTCTTGACAAGTTTTGGGGTAACATCTGTTACTGGGAGCAAAAAAATTAATTTTCCGTCCGTCGTCGTCACTTCCGGTCAAACCAGAAGTAGCAAAAAATGGCTGATTTTTGCATTAAATGACATAGATTTAGAGGGTTTAAACAATTTTAGGACGCTATTACTCATTTTTGTAAAAATGAAAGTTACTTCCGGTTAAACAGGACGGAAGACCTTCTCGTTGCTTTGCAACGAGCTTTGCTCTAGTTATTAAAACTATTGAAATAAAAGGTAGCTATATTGTGCTACTTTAAACTCAATTTATTTGACTAATGATCGCTTATCAATCATACTTCTTACATTTCAAGTGACTTGACTCACCATGTCCTACCTAAAGAGAAATCCAGAGAAAGTTTACAATGGTTTCAAGAAAGCTGGGATTTTAGCTCTGAAAATCTCAAAAAAAAGTTTCATGTGAACCAATGTTTTAAATTGCATTTTAACTTAATTTTGAACTAGACGATTTTATCTCTTCTTATACACGGTAGAAAATATTTTTATCTGAATTTAGATAAATCTGACATTGTTTTAATACATTTTATGCACATGCATGCTTAAATAAATTAAACTTTTAAGGTTACTTAAAGCTGACATTGTTTTCATATTTAATATAGTTTACTGTAGATTCCTAATTATACGCGAGGAATTAATTTCCGCGTAATTTCGCGAGAAGTTTCATTAGCAAAATAATATTACACGCTATTATTTTTAGGGTGCTGAAATCCATTTAAATTATATAGACCAACTGTTCATTCACGAATTATTAATCTCGCGATTTGGCGTTAAAGAGCAAGGGTTTTTGGCTGAGTCTCCCTTCCTCCGGTGAAGATGATGCCTTAACTTCAGCAAAGCATTGCAGATAAGGACGTCAATTTGACGTCCCTGCTAATCCCTTATTACGTACCTCCCTATAAGAAAGATGAAAATAAGAAGCCAGATAAGACTTTTGCATTCTCTTACTATTAAGAAATTTATAAAGGCTTTCTGGATTTACAAAAACATACACCTCTAGAAGACAAAAACTAGATCTGTATGAATGAGATATTATTGATATGGCTACACATTATCTCTCGTCCTCTTACGTACATTCATAGCTAAATATGCAGTATCCAGCATATGCACAGATAATAACCTCTTATTCATAGAAACAATAAAAGATTTCCCGCCACTCCCCATCATAGTTAATTCAGTGCTCGCTCAGAGAAGACCACCCACGTTGTGTAACCCAACTCTTTTTTATTTTTACTTATTTTTGGACATTTTTATCTTTCATTTTGTGTGTTATAACTTTATTATGGATGACAATCAGGATTATATCATAATTCAACATCGCTCAGACTCTACAAATTCACGTTCTGTGAAAAATTTGACAACGACAGACCAAGAGATGCTGGCGCTATTAATTAACATGGCAGGGCACGCTGCCTCAGAGCAGCTTACCAAAGTGCCCAGAGGCTTCAAGGCCAAACACTTGTGGTTCTGTGGCAATGCCACAAATGAGCAACGCTAGCTCAAATAATGGAACTCGTTTCTCGAGGCAACTACAAGTTGAGGATGTGTGTAATTCGATACGCCATCCATTTAGTGGATCTGGTTTGGCGCATGGTTCACATTATCCAGGAAAGAGGTTCTCCAAAAACCTTTGTCAATTCAGGCTCATGGTGGCCATATTTAAGGAATAACTTTCTAATTTTTTGGTTTCATATGTCTTTCATGCATCAATGTATAGACCAAAATGAAGTACAGAAAAATGAAGAAGTCAGCTTGCATTAATTATATACATTTAGAGCACACCATGTCTTACGAACCAGACTCGAAAGAAGTACCTTGCTCTGAAAGAAGCAGCTAAGACCATGCAAGCCTGCTATAAAGGCAAGTGAGCCAGAGGCTTGTACAAAAGAACCAAACAGTCTATAGTGCAGAACTACAGAACCATCACCATGGTTTCTGGAAGAACTTATCATTCCTAAGTACAGATGGCATACACATCAGGTACTCCAGCACTGACAGCAGCCAGATGAGAAAATACCTTCAAAGCGTAAAGAGGGCCGTCTTGCAAGCTTCTCGCTCCATTTGGTAATCATGTTTTATTTATATGCATGTGGCAATTAATGCATTGCTTCATGAAAATCCATTTCATATAGCAGTAGATAACCATGATAACATTTACAGCATTATATAGTACTTGAAATATATGCTATATGAACTCAAAATTACTCGAAAATGCTATATCAATTTAAACAGCTTAGGTCTTGTGCAACAAATCTTAACTAAATTGATAAGTTTACCAATATTATCTGTTTACAATACACAGATTGAAGTCAACATTTGATTTTTTTCTTAAAGTTTTAAGAAATTCCAGTATCCCCTGGGCCCAGTAAGGACTTGGACATGCCACAACAAGTGCCTTCAGGGAATAGTTTGCCTGACACAACCAACACAGCTGTGAATACAAACAACGTTTTAGGTGCAGCCCAGTTTCCACCTAAGTTGGGATAATATTTTTTGGGGTGAGTCTATTGTAAGTAGTTCAGGGGATGATAACAATTTTACACCACTGCAGTTATCAGGGGGTATACCATTGGGGGGCCCAACACTTCCCTTGTGTGTAAAGCAAAAAATCTAGGCTAACCAGTATAGTGACTTAAGGGTGTTACTGCCTGAACACAAACAGGAAACTGTATCTGTACAAATTGATCAAGGATAAATCAAATTAAATGCTAAACAGTCAGTGAAACCTCCACTGTCCATTTATCAATGGACAAATGCTTTTATAACTTTCAAGTCAATTCATATAGAGTCAAATTCACAGTCAGCCTCAAATTTGCTTAAGTACATGTCAACAATCCGTCACCTCCATGCCTCCAATGGTGATTCAGCCTGGAGGTTATATGATGAGCAGTTTAGGAAGTTGTGTGAGGTGTCGGACCTGCCTTGGCAACAACCCCTTAATGAGTTAATCATAAGAGTAACAATAATGTCAAAATCACATAATCCAACATTTCCACGCAACAGAACATCAAACAATCATTCCTTTCGGGGACCAATCAGGTTTCTTCATGTGGAAAGTGTTTTCCATCTAACTAGTCAACATTTTACCGTGTTCCTTTATTATTAACACCATGGGAAAGACATAAATTCTGTGAATTCAGAAGATATCAGAATACTAGAAGAAAACATTGCCATTTTCAGAACTCTTAGGAAACTCCACATTAAACTCTAGAGAACAAATAAAACACCTTGCATACTGAAATAAATGCCAACAACGAGTTCTCATACCAAAGACATTAAGGTAGAACCTATGTCGGAGAAGTCTTTGTCGCAAGATTTTCAAACTTTTCATAATGA